ATTGATCAGCCCCCATATACCCAGATCCCATTTGTTTGGATTCCCATATTTTTTTGATTTTTTTCGACCGCCACATGTTTTAAGCAGGGCTGTGGTTGAACTGGAAGCCACTTCTGTGATACAAAAAGGGCCTCCCAAAGACTAGCCCCCCATACAAAGCGAGGATTCCCTTGTATCACAGAAGTGAGATAAACCCCTTGATCCCACAACCCTGGCTTTAACCAACGACCATCCTTGGCTTCGTTGGGCTCTTGCTTTGCCGAAAAGAATCGCCCGCGGGTAGTTGCCTTGAGCACGTGGAAGAGGATCTCAGTTGGAACCTCCGCGAAATTCCAATGGGGGGTGGGGTTCTTGTTGGTTTCAATGGAAGTCTGTGGTTCTGCTTGGTTTCAATGGAAGGATAGACCCCTTCAAGATAATATCAACCCCTTAATATAACTTATACAGGATATGAGGCTCCTTTTGATGTTGCAGGAAACTGCCCCTATCATCCAAAACAAGGTCTGACTCCTCTTTTGTCTGAAAATCGGGAGACCCCCGAATCGCTTTGGGGCTACTGTTCAGGAACCAAAAGGAACTCAAACCAGCTACCTGGAGGGGAGAACTCCCCGATAAATAACGTGGGTGTGTCCAACCAATTTTTGCTTTGCAAGCCTGCACTCCACTCCAAGAACCTTTTATTTTAAAGGTTCTCGAAAATAACCGGGTTCTTCGCGGGAAAACCCAGTTTTATGAAAAGCATACAAACGTACGGGTTTTGTACTTGTTTTGTATGGTTTGTGTATTGGTTTTGAAAAGTAAAACCGGGTTTTCGGTTGGAAAAGCCTGTTTTCGGTAAGCAACAGGCTCAAAACCAGGCTTTTCGTTTGCATCCTTTATTTTTAAAGGTTCTTGGAGTAGAGGGTGTAGCAAGGTTCTGCCCGGTGTTTTGTTTGTGGCTTTCCCTTTCACCCTTGCCCAGAAGAAATACCCTCAACAAAAAGTACGGATGTGTGGATGGTCCTGAGACCTTGAAAGGGGCTGGTTTGGAGGGAAACTAGAAGGACAGCCGTTTGGGCCTCCGTTGACACATACCCATAGGGATGTGTTCAAACCAGGGACCCTTTGTGAGACAAGGACAGTAACCACGTCGCCGTTTCGCTACTTTTTGACTGCCAATATCTGGAGCCAGTTGCAGCCACAACTGAACACTGCTGGGCAGATTTCGAGCTGGTTCTTCGAGCTCTATGCACGAACTAGCTTTCCTCCTGACGGGAGCCCCTGGCAAGTGCCGCGGTTGCTTGTTGCCATAAGCCTGAAGACTCAAGCAAGCGAAAAGGCACAGATCCGGACAACTCACTACCAAGCGAAAGCCATCTAAGACTTGTACCACAGGCTTAGTTTCCACAAGACCTTGCCCTGTGAACATCTCCTGGGCGGTTCAGACTTGCCCTTTGTGCCCCCATAAAACACGCAACCTTTCCAAAAGAACCAGCTATCATAGGGCCATATCATAGGGCCACAGCCATAAAAGGGCCATAGCCGGGGAAATGACATGGCGCAACGATGGCGCAGGGGCCTCATTTGGAAAAGCCTGGGAAGGGACCCTTGTTGCCATGCATGCATCTTGCCAGCGGCTTTTGGGATCTTTGCTGCGCTCTGGCAAAACGTTGTTTTGGGCTGGCTGCAAGCAGTGAGAAACGCGAGTCTTGCAGGGTTCCCATTGTCGGCTTCAGAGAAATAAGCAAATAAACCATCATTTTCGGGGTAAGCCACATTCTATTTGGAGACTCCACGTCCCCGTCCAACGGTAAACTGTGAGTCCACACCTCTTGCAACCAGCAGTCGTCTGGCATGGCCTGCGATGCGGCGAAAGCTTGTGATGGACCCAAGCACAGAATCACAGAATTACGCACGATTCCAACAGATTTGTCTCAAAATGGGATATTGCAAGAGGCGGAATAAAGAAATACTGACACGATTTGCGGATGACTGGTGGGTTCAAAGTGAGTCACTCCCAAAAAAATACCTCCAACTGCACACTTGAGACATATGGAACCCTCTTGCGTGGGTTTCCCTTTGGTTCAGCTTCCAGGCGAGCTTAGGCGATCTCAGGCACAAACTTCCAAGTTGGAACGCAAAGCAACGGACACTCCTCACTCAGGATATGCTGAAAACATTGCGCATCCACCCGTTCGAAAGGCAGAAACTAAATGCTGAAAATTCAAATTGGAATGAATGTGAAGCCCCTAAAAAAATCCCCTTGCATATAACCCACAAGTCACAATATGACTATGTATCATGGAAAGGAATGTATTAGTTGGTTGCCAAGAATACAATCAGGGGTTCCCTTTTAGGAGTACCTAAGCCATGAGACTAATTCCATTTGAAGGTTTTTCAAGCAGAATCTGGCGATATCTGGCATCTGTTTCAGTGCCAACTCCAATCGACAGGTGCTTGAGCCGACAGCTTGGACGAAGCCTGATTTGAATACTCAAGATAAACCACCTTGTCTGGATTTTGTAACCATCCAGGGATCCATGGGATGATCGGAAACCACGTGCAGCAGGTTTCCTTTCCCGGCTTGTGTGGGCTTTGACCCCTTGCGCAACTTGCAGCGCTCGTTTTGGCGTAGGGGAACAGTCATTTGAGCGTCTTTCTTTGATACCCTTTGCGGGTGGGTGCAAAAGAAAGCCAAAACCACAATCACACCTTCGCAGAGAAAGAAAACACCATTCTGAGGAAAAACCCACGATTTCTATGTCTAAGACACAAACACAACTTTGAAACAGTTGCAAAGGTTGAAGGTCAAAGAGCAATCAAGATTGAATCACTCAACTTTGCCCAGCGCGCTGCCGCAGCCAGTACTGGGTACATGGTTAAGTGTCCCAAAAGGCACTCTGAAACGCTCCCAAATGCATCAAGCTCAAAACCTGTTGGCTCAAGAGCGACTACGCAAGATGGACAGAACACAAGGAATTGTATTACTACGTGTCAAGCAAACCAAGGTTTGGTTTTGCTTTGTGCTAACAACTCCAAAAAAAGGGAAAACGCTCTGAAAGCATCCAAAGAAAGCGAGCGAGAGAGAGAAAGAGAGAGAAAAAAAAAAGGAGATAGAGAGAGGGTAAGAGAGAGGAAGGGAAGGAGGAAGGGCCTAAGGGAGGGAGGGAGGTCCCTGGGGTCCCTGCCTCCCCAAGGCTTCTGAACGCCTGGCATTCCACAGGCTTAGCATAGTCACCCTCGGAATGAAGCTGCTGGATTATGAGGGCCGCCAACCCACGCTGCCAAGAATAAGCGAGGACCTGATTCTTTTGAAGAGAAGTCAACGCGGGTGGATTCGGGGGCGGATTAGGGGCCGGGTTTTGCCCAAAAGTGAAAAGAATCCTGCAAAAAACAAGGGCACAACTCATTCATCAACAATCTGGATGCTCAGGAAAGCTTCCAGCACCTACACACAGCACCTTCGACGGGGGTCTCAATGGGTTCAGACTGAATGATTCTGGGGGGGGTTTAGGGCATAGGGGCCAAATGTGAGAGAAGTTGTTGCCCATAAGCAGGAAGATGTCGAAGGTGCTGAAGAATGTTGAAGGATGTGAATAGAATGCGCCGACTCCTTCTGCCAAAAGGAGGCGCACGGGAAGGGTGAGACTACTCTACCATCGATGGCTTTGATTCATCAACACCATCATCATCATCATCATCATCAACACCATCATCATCATCAACATTGTGATTGTCATGGTCGACACCCTCAGCATAACAAGCGAAGTGGTCGGCACCCTGAGCATCACCAGTCATGAAGAAACGGAAATGCTTTTCCACTTGTTGAACGTAGATGCCGCGATAGTTTGTAGATCAAGGGGTTGACACCCGCAGTATCACCTGTGTTTTAGTACAGAAATGCTTTTCCTCCTGCTAAATGTAGATGTCGCCCATACTTTGTAGATAAAGCGGTCGACACCTCCAGCACTACCAGTGGTTTGGTAAGGAATTATCATCACCATCATCGTCATCATCATCATCATCATCATCATCATCACTAAATTGGCTGTCGACCTACCAATCACTACACGACGTTGACCACACGCTCATTCACTAAGATTTGTCGGGTGCTCCGGACACTGACACAGGACTCATATGACTTCCAAAAGCGAGAAAGACGGCATTCTTGGACATGGGCTCTCATGTTTCATGCGCTTTCACAGGAGGTTCACTTCCGAACAAAATGGAAAATACCTGAAACGCTGAACTGGAAAGAAGCAACCTGTGCTGAAAGGCACACACCATGCATCCACAACGGAGCCTAGAACAGCTTTCAAAACCAAACACATCGCCCTTCACAGTCTGAGGGCACAGTCGTCTTCGCAGTGCGCAGGCCATTTGCCAGGCATCTTTGGCTGTCTGAAGCATCATGGCAGTGAGTAAGGAAATGGAATGGCTTGGCAAGGCGTGCGCCGGACTAATATGCATGCATTACATGCACCGGGATTGCACGCACTGGCGTTTACAGCCATCGCATCTCCTGCTGAAACTTGGGCGGTGCTGGCGGTGCTGGCGGTGAAGCATGTAATCTATTCGATATATGGGAACCTGGTATAGCTCAGCACAACTGGCAACCCTGAGGCCGATGTAACCACCGGTGTCGTTTGCGAGACCCGCCAGCACGGCCATAGCAAGGTCTCAGAACGGTAAGGGAAGATTCCTGAGAATCGATTCTTGGTGCGGGACCCTTGGGGTGGACACCTCCGACACTCCCGCAGCGCGGGCGTAAAATTTGGCTGGGCGACGGCCGCCGCCACGCAGCCAAAGCCCTGCACTTCTGCGCCTATGGGAAAAGAGCTTCAATGACGAGGCTGGAGGCGCCTCAATTGATGAATTGTGTGTGTGCCCCAGTGCTGTTGAGGCCAACAATGAGCAACCCACTGGCCTACCAATTGGGTATGAAGGATGCCGCTTTTTTAAGGGTCAACTTCGCACAGGTGGCTCACACCTGGGCAGGAACTTCACTTCATCCACTTCCTTCAAGGAATCCAAGAGGAGAAATGCCAACCGTCGGTGCAGAGCTGACCGGTGATGAGGCGGGGCCGGCCCACGAGGTGCTGAGCTGACATACCAGCCCCCCAGCCTCGATTGCAACAAAAGAACGGCCGCAAAAAAAAACCGACGAAACCCAACCAAACACGCGCTGTGTAGTTGCCAAGCGGGCAAACCAGCAAACCCCAACTCACCGAAAGTTGCGATCCGAGGCGCTGTTATCCACGAGGGGTTGGTTGGCCATCGCGTTGTTGGACTCCACTTCCACCGGGTAGTTTTGGGGCGGCGGCACGTTGGGCTTGAAGACTTGGGGATTCCACAGGTTGGGTCGGTACTCTGAACCGCCGGCATACCAGCCGGAGGCCGTCTTGTCCCAGTGGCCACGCTGCTCGTGGATGTGCCCAAACAGGTGCACCTGGCTGGAAGTAGGATGCATTAAATAATGACGAACATTCAACCATGGCCATGGCCGCGAATGGAAAAGCCCATGTGCAAGTGAATGATCCAGATCGGAGTGAGCTTGTTTACCCTAGGTGGGGTAGCCGGCTGGCTGCGAAGCAGGCAGAAAAGAACGTGACCGATGGTGGCGGGAAGTGAGAGAAACACAGACACATAGAGCCACAGAAGCACATCACACATCACACAGACTTACACGCACCAACACTAACACCAAAACCTATGCCAACACCCACACAAACAAACGAACACACAAACACACACACGAACACACAAACACACACACACACAAACACAAAGAACGAACACACGAACACACGAACACACGAACACACGAACACAGAACGAACATACGCACCCACCAACACACAAACACAGAAACACGCAAACACCACAAACACAAGAAACCCACAAACACCACAAACACCACCAACACCCCAAACACAACAAACACCACAAACACCACAAACAAGTCAAACAGCAAAGCCACACAACCCACAACCACACAAACACACTCACACACACACAAACACACACGCACACAACACACACAACACACGCAATGCACACAACACACACAACACACACAATGCACACAACACACACACAACACACACAACACACACAACACACACAACACACACAACACACACACAACACACACAACACACACACAACACACACAACACACACAACACACACAACACACACAACACACACACAACACACACACAACACACACACACAACACACACAACACACACAACACACACAACACACACACAACACAAACAACACACACACACACACGACACACACACACACACGACACACACACACACACACGACACACACACACACACGCACGCACGCGCGCACGCACGCACGCACACACGCACACACGCACACAAACACACACACACACACACACACACACACACACACACACACACACACACACACACACACACACACACACACACACACACACACAACACACACAACACACACAACACACACACAACACACACAATGCACACACCACACACAATGCACACAACACACACAACACATACACACACAACACACACAACACACACAACACACACACAACACACACAACACACACAACACACACAACACACACAACACACACAACACACACAACACACACACAACACACACACAACACACACACAACACACACACACAACACACACAACACACACAACACACACAACACACAAAACCACACACACACACAGAACACACAACACACACACAACACACACAAGCGCGCGCGCACACGCACACACGGGCACACGGGCACACAGGCACACAGGCACACAGGCACACATCCACACACACACACACCCAAACCACACGAAAACACGCGCACACAAGCAAACACGCAAGCAGACACACACACACACACCCACACACACATAGACACCCACACAAACAAACACACAGACTGTGACACAGACACACAGACACACACAGACACACGCAAGCAAACACACCAACACACAAACACACAAGCTCTGCATCTACAGCCTCAGCGCTGAGAGCACACAAGCATTCGTGCGGCCTCCGCCGAACCAAGCCCCACCAGCAATCACCCTCCAAAATCAAATTCCACCAGCATACAGCCGTTCACGGCTCGTTGTCGCTGCCTTTTCAACCGAATGCCCAGTGCCACGCACATCCGTCAACTCCATTCTTGCTGCCTCCGCCAAACGAAATCCCACCGGACCACAGCTGCCAGCACCTCATTTTCCCGCCGGGCAGCAAGCAAGCGGGCTGTGCGCTGGTGGAATTTTGCGCAGGCAGGGAGTGACAAAGACAACAGTGGGATTTGGTCTGCTGACAGGCAAGAGTTCAGGGTTTGGACTGAAGGACTTCCACGCCGTGCCGCGCGCACCGCGACGCCTTGAGACTTTGCTGTTGGGGGCAGCAAAAGGCGCCTGCGTCACGCGCCGCTGCAGGCTTGCCGGGCATTTCGTGCCCAAATCATTTGCCAAAGCGGTGTGCCTGATTTCAAACGTTTCAAGACAAAACTTGCAGCTGGCCTTGGTGGTTTTTGGGCCAAAGTGGCTCCTCGCCTCCCCGCCTCATGGTTATGAATTTATGCATCGGGGGGTCACAGTTCCAGCTCGAAAGTCGCAGCTACTCAGTGCCAGTGCAGTAGGCAAAGCGCACCTCCGCTTTTCCAAGTGCTGTGCGACTATGCAAAACCAGCCAGGCGACGGCAAAAAGGGGTTCCCTGGTCTAGGCTGGAACGAGGTAGCGGCTATGTAGCGAGGTATAGCACGGAAAAAGGATTCTTTCTTCCGGCCCCTCTGTTACCTCTTCCGACTTTTCTCCTGTATGGCAAGCTCTTTGCAAGTGGACTCTTCACAAGTATGTCCAGCGCTCATGGGCAATCGCTTAGAGACTGGGTTTGCGGGACATTCAACGAAGGGCATGCAACCAGCCAGGTGGCTTCGTGAATATGTGAGGTGTAGCGAAGGTATGAAGCGAGGGGGGTGTAACGAGTCAGCAGGCCTACACGGGTATATAAAAAGGGTGTATAACGAATATTCGCCGCGGCTCTGTTGCAGACCCCTGAACAAATCACTGCTCTGCCTCTCTCCACGGTCATTTTCCAGGTATGAGTTTTGGCATGGATGCTTGTATACCACTAATATCTTGTAACGCAGTACCACTCCTAGTGGAAAGGCGCACTTTTCCTTAAACCCCATACCTGGAAAATACAAACTTGACACATTTTGGCGCCGTTTTCTCTGTTTTTTTTGACTCGGAACCTCAAAAACGGGCACCCTCCAAAAACGACACGCAGGCACACCCATCTTCATCTCACCTTGGGCTTCTTCTCCCAGATGGCCGCCAGCAGGTCATGGCTGGAGCCCCAGTTGCCGCCCCCCGTCTGGTCGAAGATGCCGTACGGCGCTTCGTGGGTCACCAAAACGTCGATGCCCCAAGGCAGGTCCTCGCGACTCAGAGCGATGCGAAGCGCTGCGAAGCAGAGCCAGACTTACGGCACCCTTCAACCCCCTTGCTTGGGTTTGAAGGGGGAAAGGTGGTAGTTGTCTTCTTCTTTTTTCCACAAAAGGCACACCCTTCTAATTTTGCACATTAAACATGAGGGAAGCGGCGTAAGCCAGCTTGCTTCTATTGTGCCAACTTATTGTAGCTTGCCCTGATTCTAGAAGTTGATTCCAAATTCGATTCACCCTTTTGCACACCGCGATTTCGCCTATCTCGCCCCGCGTTCTTGTTTCTTTGAAGCAAAGCCTCAAATTTCCCAGCAAGCGACTTCCCTCGACTTCTTGCTCGCCGCGCCAAAGGAAACTCCCGTGGCTCGAGTAACGAGACTCGTGGCTCGGGTCTCCTGGTAGTTGTTCCCTGGATCGGAGTCGCCGCGCTGGGGTTTCCAGCCGTCACCCCAGATGTTCAGGCCCATCACCTGCACCATCTCGTGCTTCAGCACCTCGAAGCTGACTGGTCTCAAAACTCGGGGGCCCCCCCCAAAGATGCGGGCATACCTTTAAGGCTCCCCGTTTAAGACGGCCAAAGAGGGGTTCCCAAACCGCACCAAACCGCCCCCCGCTTTGGTTGACCAAAGGGACGCCAAAACGAAACTGCTCATTGCTGGGCGCTTCGCGAAAGCGACCCCAGCCACCTTTGACAGCGCTGCGACGAAAGAAGGAAGTGTCGCCGTGAGGAACTTTGGACTAACGCTCGGGCGAGCACAAGGCACTAGTGGGAAGCCACCAAGAAACATCATCGGACTAGACATAATGTTTGTTGTGCGTCTGCTTTCATATTTTGTCTACCCTAAAATGCCCAGGAACCATACCAGGAGAGTTGGTGGAATGCCGCTGGAACCCTGTTGAGAGCCGCAGGGAACTTGGACATACTTGGACTGAGGAAAGCAGCGCGGCCAAATCGGCAACTCACTGTTTCAGACCCTTGGGCGTTGCGGCAAACTCGCCTCGAAATAAAGTGGGCCGTCCCTATATTAGATATAACGTCACTTTGCCGCTTAGGTTTTATTGAAACTTGACTGTTAACCCCTCTCTGCAACTTTTTGCGGGTTTAATGAAAAACCCCTAGAATTCAACCAACAAGTTACAGTCAAAAGATCCAACCCAACGGCAATCCATTAAAGTAATTAGCCAAACAAATCCTCCATTCTCCATGCACCTGGGCGTTGGTGAACTTGTACTGGAAGTAGTTGGGATCCCAGGCTGCTCCCGGGGAGAGCCAGCCCTGGTTCAAGCGCCAATTGGTGTTCCAGAAGTCATGGTTCCCGGCGATCAGGAACCTCCGGCCGACTGGAACTCAATGCGATAATCTTTTTGAGCCACGCCTTGACCCCCGGATGAATCAGCCCGTTCTACGGGGACCCTTTCCCATGAGGTCAACCAGCTGCTGAATCTCGGGAATTCCCGTTGTGGGAACTGATCGAATCCTAAAGCTTGGCAATTCGCAAAAAAGGCACATGTGCTTGAACTTGCCCTTGATGCTGCCCAGCCAGTTGTTGAAGTCCCCGAATTCGCCGTCACTGCCCGACTGGCCCACGTCTCCGGAGTGGATGAAAATGTCGGCGTTGGGCAGGTTTCCTACTTGCCAATGAAGGCCATGAGTGTCACTTACATGGAGAATGGTCACCTTGCCCATGCGCTTCACGTTGAGAAGGGACCGATCTTGCGAACCCGGCTTCTTCGCAGCCGTCTCATTCGCGCCGACTGTCACCTCACCACCGTTTAGGGTGTTGGAGGCGTTGGTGGCGTTGGTGGCGTTGGGGGCGTTGGTCGCGTTGGTGGCGTTGCTGGCTGCTCCACCCATGCGCTTCACATTGAGAAGAGACCGATCGTTCGTGCCCGGCTTCTTTGCACCCGTCTGATTCGCACCGACTGTGACATGGCCCTTGGAGATGTCGGGGGCGTTGGCGGCGTTGCTGGCTGCAGCCCAAAGGAGAATGGCAGCAAAAGAAACGGCAAGCCTCGCCATCAGAGTTTGCTCCTGAGCCCAACCCGACCTGCAGCCAAAATGGCTATTGAGCGCCATGGAAAGAAAACTGCAACCCATCCCGCAACATGCAGCTGCAGCTGGACTGTCTTGACTCAGTCGCTTGACAAGTCCGCATTTCTGTGTTGACTCAAGCATACCGAAAGATGATAAATGCCCCGAGCTTGATGGCGGCGATAGGCTCAGAATCCTAACTTTCAGGTCATGCTCGCTGCCCGATTCAATGGGCTCAGTATAACAATCAGTTAACATGCTTTGACACCGACAGCTAGCACAATTTTGCTCCCAGGCAGGCCACCGCAAACCTGTGAACAGTCACAGACATACAATCAAAATGCCCAATATGGGGTGTTGAGAGGAAGCTAGAGGTGATGCAACTTTTTTTGAACAAGCGGATCCGCACGACGCCATTCTGCGCGCAAGGCGAGCTTTGGGCCACCCTCCACGCAAAGCCTCGATCAGCCTACGCGGGATTTGTGCAGTGCTCAGCCTCGAAGACTCTGCGCTCTTTCAGTGTGTTCAAACGCAATGCTTTGGGTTTGCAGCACTTTCATGTCCAGTTGCAAAATGCTTTGTGGAAGGCAGGTCTCAGCACCCGCAACGTCACTTATCTCCCACTTCACCAGAGCCCGCAGACCGCGCCCAAGTCTGCCCGCCTGTTCGGCAGATGATCAGCTGATTCGCACCACTTTAGCACGATGCCCACGCACAACCGGCCGCACTTCGAACGTAGCTGCTTAAAGGCAAGCACCAAGCAGCACCTTTAGGCTGCGAGACCCCAACTGCAAGATGCTTTGTGGCCCATCAGCGCCAGCATCACCCGCATCACCCGCATCGCCCACCAGGGCAAGCCCACAGACTCACAGTCCAACCGTCCCAAAAAACGCAAAGCGTCAGAAGCAAATGATGCAGGTGATGGTCACTTTAGCGTTCGCATTCTCGGGTCGGCGGCATCGGGCGCAAGGATTTCTGGGCGTGTTTTGGCGAACTTGTTGCCATCTTGCAATTAAATCACAAATCGTGCGTTTTGCGCAGTGCCCGGCGGGCCAACACGGCCCCAACTTGGCATCATGTTGAGGAACAAGTGTGTTGTTTGCAGATGGAAGCGTGCAACATGTGGAAAACTGCTTGTCAGTGAGGCTACATGCGGCGAACGTGTGGAGAAAACACTCTGCTTTTACGTGTATTGTTGGCGGACGCAAGCGCCTATGGAAGCGCGCAAAATGTGGAAACCTTCTCAGCGGGGTTCCACTGATCCCGGCCAAATTCACTGTGTTGGGGCTGCATGACTCTCAGTTTCCGGTGGCCGGCTGCTCCGCATCACCGGCGAACTATTTAAAGAATGTAAAAGGATTGCGAGCATGTTCAAAAAGGGAAACAGGGCGTTGGCCCGTCATCTGCGTTGATATATGAGAAGTGGCAAACTACAACGCTGCGTGTTCTTATGTAAAACTCTGAGGGGGGGGAGAGCCAAGAACCCATTTCACAGCGTTGCTTCCCTTCCAACAAGTAGTACTGCAGCTGGTGGTAAAAGAAACAACCTAGAAGCCAAACCGATTTTCTACTCTTGCACTTCGATCATCCTTCCCGTCTTTGGTTGACGGGCCTCCTCATTTTAAAGAAGCCTGTCGCTTGAGGTTGCTTTTCCGGTTGGTCAATCCCCTGTGCGAGCCAGCCTCCGCCTGCGGCGTCCTGAGTCTCAAGAAGCTGCACATCACATTTTTGAGAGCTTGCTGTGACGCCTTGGGAGTTGCCTGGGAAATGACCCAGCATGGTCCAACATAATAACATTGCCCATCTTCAAAAACGGCACGCAGGCTAATTTTGCACAACAATATCATTCGTCTGCAAAAACTAAATGGTGGTAATCTCTCGGTTGGCGGAATTTGGGTGTAACTTAGACAAATACCTTGGACAAACACCAAGATAGTGCCTTGAAAAGGACACAAAGTTCTATCCCAAGGCCCCCAGCTGCATGGGGAGGAATTTCTCTTTCACCCAAGAAACACGAAATATGGCGAAGATTGATTCCTATCCGTTTTGACCTTGGTGAATGGTTTCCAAGTAGCCATTGTGTCATTGACCGAGAATATATTCTCAGGGGCCAGGTGTGCATACATCGAATGGTGTCTGCCGTGTAACAACATTATATATATATGTATACATATATTAATATATATATACATAATCGACATATCTCAGAAGCTCAAAAGCCTGAAATAAGAATTGCACCCCCGAGCAAAGAGCGCTCAATCTTGCGGAATCTCTAACGTTTTGTTCCTGAATCGGTGGATCAAATCTATCATTGCTCGCCAAATGAGCAGATCTGGTTCTTTGTTGAGAAACCAAAAGGAAAACCATAATGTTGGCGTCCCCTAAAAAAAAGACACGCCAACATGGAATGAGCCAAGGGCTTCACTGAGCGCTGGGCTCTGCGCCATGCTCATCACCCTGTCCGGGCTATGAGCTAAAGTCTTCAAGCGTTAAGGGGCGTAATCCTTGGTGCCGGTGGTTCGAGTTTCCACTTGCTGTATCTAATTACCTAATTAGGTACAACTTCTGGATCTAATTAGGTACAACTTCTGGATCTAATTAGGTAGGAAACAAGGAGTTGCCTAAAATGTAGAAAATAACCCAACCCGCGCTGTTGGGTGGGGAACCAGGACTCCTTGCCTCTAATTCATGATTCTCCTGGTTGCCTAGTTTGGCGGTTGCTGGAAGCACTGGCTAAGCCAAGGATTGTCTAAGGTTAGCACCCCTCCCACCAACGTTGCCATTTTAGAGACAAATGTGAAGTTGAATCAATATTTGCTCACAAGCTAAACGGGAATTTTCGGTGGGTGAGGGATTTGTCTTAACATCCAAAGGTAACACGTCCGACCGTTTGCACGTGCGCAAGCCGTGGGCTGGAGACGGCAAGTCGCCGATTGCGGCAAACACAGATATGCGTCACGGTCAACATTTACTGTTGCCCCAAATGTCCACCTGGGTTTTTGTGGGAAACTTAGCGAGTCCCCCGTGTCCCTTTCAATGGACCATAGACTACTGGAAATTTGGACAAAAATCCGTCTAAAAGGACGAAGGCGTGCAGAACTTGCCGGAAAACCTTGCTTCGCTGAAGAGGACGTGCCCACCCCCCGGTTTTCGTGGGAATTTCGGGGCCCATCCCCTTCTCATCTTCCCTAAAGAAATAGAAAACTGGCATCAATCAGCTACTCGCATGGCTGCGCCTGCGACCGGTACGGAGACGGAGCAGAAAAGGACGACACCAACCTCAATCCGGCAGGCAATTGCCAGGCTTCGGGAAACGTCGCAACTCACTGGACCCACTGATCGATGCAAGAAAACCGTCAAGGCCAATGTGGATAGCTCCTGGGAAGCCGTACACAGATACAATGATATACAGGCATCGTATAGGTACTACATGCATACTTTAGTCAGCCCGATTACAGACACTATCCGGAGAAGAAAAAAAAACGCGGATCGAACTAACATAGACATCCATATTTCAAACAAACAACAAGCTCCCATTTGAAAAAAAACAAGTAGCTGGTCAACCGAGGATCGAATTAACAAGTGCAGTCCGTGTGGCAGGTGTGGGATGCTCAATTGTCACGCCCTTTTCATATAACATAACAAAAGGCATTCCGGGTTCAACATTGATCGCGCACATCTGATCTCACCGTGAGGAATTGAACTAAGACAATTAAGGGGAACGGGTTGCTAGTGTTTAAGGTAGTGTAATTTTTGCCTGGTGAGTGTATTGAGCTAACGATGAGCTTCATACTGATAAACAACATCCAACACCACCTAAGAATCCCTGGAATGATGAGTTCCCTGTAAATACCAGCAAAGAGGTGCAGAGGACTTCGCCCATCCACAACATCAGGTGAGTCCGACTCGTGGTTCAAGGACCGAGTGCCACTGGTCCCATGGTGCCTCACCCTGTTCCAGCCATCGGTTGTTCATGGGGATGTCTTGCAGCAGGCCACCTGCCCTTTGTGGCTTCCACGGTTGCCCCAAAGGAAACAACCAAATAGGATCCCCATCTCCAAGCGATATGGTACAGGCAAATTGTGGATGTCCTTTGGTCCCTAGTTGCTTCTTAGGGAATCAAGCGCAGCCTCCGTTTGCGGGTTGGATGTGTTGCTATGCTTGACCTGTACCAGGACGCTTGGCCCAAAGCTCTCAATCAGAGAGGATCTGAATGGGAATCAGTTTTGTAGTCGCTACATTACAGAAGCTTCATGGACCGTCCCCTTGCCATGCTCCCATGCGGCTCCCGGCTTGCGGCCCAAGCCGTCCTTACATCGGAAAGCCCCCTAGGATTGGATATTTTGTGCTTGACATGTCTTCCTTGGAGATGGGGACGAATCCTATTTGGCTGTTTCCTTTCAGGCAACCGTGTCGAAACCACAAAGGGCAGGTGGCCTGCAAGACATCCCCATGGCTTGATGTAAATCAGGGCATTCGAAGCATCTCAGATCTCAGTTCGGCCGCCCGGCCCATCGATTCGCTGACGCTCCTGCGGCTCGACATGCCTGTCCTACCTGGGATTTTGTTGGCTTCCAGGCTCCAGCTTTCCTCTAGAAAGTTGCCAACTTGAACATCGACTTGTCAACTACCTTTCTTTAGGGGGAATGTGGATGGTTGAATCAACGCCTCGAAAGAATCAGCTGGAACACGTCAAAAGGGATCTGAGAAGGAGATGGTTTCTGGGAAGAAGTGCGTTTCAACAACCAGATGCCATAGACCGAGTTTTAAGAGGATACGGGCTGCTTGAAAAATGGTTGTGGAGGTATGTTGAAACAGCGAGTTGGCCCAACCCAAAACCAGTGTTGGGTTTCCGCCGGCAAAAAAGAAACCAGTTGGAGTGCTTCAAAAGAAGCCGAAGAAAAGGGGATGGTGCCGATTGGTTGCTGGGGTGAAGCACCCCCTTTTTGGAAACTCCTATCTGTCTTAAGGAACGCTCGTGTGAATTTCGAATCACTGGAAAAAACAGTTCCTCTTGAGAGAGTCGGAGGGTATGCGGGGCGCGCAAGATTGGGAAATTATTATTGAGGGTGTTCAAAGTCAATCCAACGGGAAAAAAAAGAGAGAGCTCATCCTCCAATGTCCCGCGCAAGTTAACACTAGATAGGGAGTTGATCACATTTCATACGTCTCGTGGTCAACACTTCTTAGGCAGACTCGCCATCCTGATTGTTGACATTCCCTACTTATGACCTAGTGGATCTACAATATTCAAAGAAAAAGCGGAAATGATCCGGGGGGCGTGTCCAAAAGAAGGAATTGACCTGAGGTAGAATTTGCTTTCGTTGTCCCTTTCGAACCATCCAAGGCCCGAATCGTTCAACCGTCGGAAAGGGAAATAAAAACCATCCAAAGGGTCCACATGTTGAGACCTACATTGAATCTGAGTAAATACCCTTGATCCCAGTGTAGAACTGTCCAGGACTTACTTTGGACATTGGACTCTATCCGGGACCTCGAAATCTCGAGATATGGCAAACTCATTTGGGTGCTTACAAAGAACGTTCAGTAACAATTTGTTAGCATGCCCAACTAACAGGTACACTTAGAACACATTTGGATACTTACCAGGAAATGGATGGCGCAATTCAGGTTCCATGTGTTATCTGATTGCTACTCAATATAGGTATTGCACAACCTATAGACGTGAGTCGGCTCCCTTTCGGCTTCGGCAGCCAAAAAGGGGTTCTCATCTTGGGACACCTTCGCCTGCTGCGGCTGTGGTTTTTCAGAGGGAACACCCTGAAACGTATTGGGACAGCCAATGTAAACGATGCCTAGGAGTTCACCGGAAAATATTCTCGGGGCAGGGTAAGTGGCTAGCAACCATGGCTTTAACCCATTGAACAGGGACCCCGGGGTTCAACCTCCATTAACACAAAGGTTGACCCAATTTAGATGATGACAATCCTTAGGAAACTCATGGTGGTTGTATGAACCACCAGTGGTTTAATGGTTGTTTGAACCCCAGGGGAGACTAACCATGGCTTTGGGGGCAGTTGGGTAACCATAAACTCGATCCCTTGCACCCTCTGGAGTTCCCTGAAGCAATCCGCGGATTGCTGTGGTATCCGAACCGCTGGGTCTGTCCGCAATTGAGGGAGGGGGGGGCGCGGGCTTTCTTTGGTCCTCATGCCTCCATTCAAATCAAGCCCAACCTGCTTTCAACGACTAGAACAATAGTGGTGTTTTAGTCATTGTGCTACGGTTGCCTGTTTCGTACCACTTTGACAGCAAGACAAGAAGAACAATGAAAACATGCATGGAATTGTTGGGCGGTTCCTTGTTGTAGACATGGCTTTCTCTCTTGTTCGGGTTAATGTTGCCCACTTTGCCTGATGTTCGAATCTTCTGCGACTTTTGAACTCGACAGCCCTTCAAACCCCTTCAATCTTGGCTGTGTGCGGGTGTGGTGGGAAAATCGGGGCAACTTTGGTCTAAACATGCGTTTCAGGTGAGACATGTTTTTTGTGCGTTCCATGTTTGGGCACAACACGAGCGCAACAACCCGCACAACGCCCGCAACAACCCGCAAACGAGCGCAAACCCCAAAAATTGGATCGATTGAGTCTGTTGGCATGCTGTCCCCGCACAAAAATCGTGCCCTGATTTACAGTAGGACCAATGTAAAGTCATGCTGATGATAATACGTGATGATATGTCAGGTTTTGTTGGCTCAAATGTAACAGGTGGATCCTTTGATTCTTCTTTACCCACCAACATGCAAGTGCGTCGGCTCCGTTAAGAGGAAAGTAGTCTTCAAAGAACGGTCTGCGCACTTCTCTGTTTGGGAGGGCAAAGCAATCCCCTTTCAAGATCCCAAGACACGCGTGCCTCAACCGGTGCTCGCACACAGGTCTCCTGGAGATTCTGAGCGGAGGAAAGTTACGAGTTTTTCGTTTGCATCAGGAACCGAAGGAACATCTTTGGCAGGTCAACTCAACGGCTCAGCTATGTCTGTAGATGCCAGGTGAATGGACTTCGATTATAAATTATAGCCCTGCGAGTTGTGGCAAGCACAGGGTGAAACGAGCATGCCCAGGCCACATGCGAAACAAGAGGGGTGCAAGCAATTGCACAACTCACTCCCCCCTTCTATGTACTTTGGACTATTTGGGAAGACCTGCTTAGTGGTAATCCTAAAGTTCAG